AAATAATAACAATAATGTAAATTTTCTATAATTTCACCTATTTCACCAAAAAATTCGAATTCTAATTATTTCTGCTTTTGTACTGGCACTATTTTAATAATAAAATCTGCCATCTAACCTGTTTTTTTTTGTGATAAGGCTTACAAGACATGCAGTTTATTTTGACCTTAAAGTCTTTTTTTTTTTGTCAGAATGTTTTTTTAAACATTCAATTCAGTCACATGCTGCGTTTTTAATATATTAGACAAGCTTGAAATAGGAATACTGAGGATAGGAAATAATTTGCTTTGGAAATTTTTTTTATTTTTATTTTGATTTGGAAAGAAAATGGATCTTTGTATAGTCACCTATAAATTTTTGATAAAAGGTAATTAACTTTCGTCAACTTAAAGAGAACACATAGCCGAAGTTGATAAGCCCATGCAGTTAAGATATGATATATATCGCAAATGTCGGATGTCAGATTATAGTACTACAAAATTTAAAAAAGTCAAGCTTTTATCTACAAAAATACCAAAAATTGTATCAAAAAAATATATCTTCAAGCTTTATACACAAAAAATTTTTTATAAATACCAAATACCTATTTGTGATCCAATCATATGAAATTTGGTAGGTCCGACCATTTAGCAAAAAATAGAATCTGTAGAAAGTTCAAACCTTCCATCTTCAAGATCACGAAGTTTGGATCTTTTCCCATCGCTTAGTTATATGGGAGCATACAGTTATACAGTATATAGTCGGCTGATCCTTTGAATTTTAATACGTCGTATTATTTTGCCACAAATAGAATGCATAGAAAATTGGGCTTACACATTTAATGTTTTGGCTATCAAATGAGCCAAAATGGAAGCAATTGAAAGAGCTTCTAAAAAAATTTGGAAATGCTCGCACTGTCAGGGGGCCAGCAGCTCTGCGGCAGAATTTCCAATAAATCAATTATATGGAAGCTATAGGATATAGTCGGCCGAAGCCGGCGGTTCTGACTTATATACTGCGTGTAAAATGAAAGAGGGTGTGTGCAAAGTTTGAAGTCGATAGCTTTAAAACTGAGAGACTAGTTTGCGTAGACAGACAGACAGATGGACACGCTTATTAAACAACCCTCTGCAAGGGTACAAAAAACTATATATTTTATAGGTATACTTTCTGTAATGCATTTAACTCCATTCTAATTGGAGTTTCTTAATATCTTTAAATATAAACTAAAAGGATTATAATCCGTCCGAGCGGGCGAATATTTCGGACGTTTTTAAAGATAGACCTGTGATAAAACTGTGTTAAAAAAACTGTGAAAAAACTGTGTGTGTTATTTTAATTATAACTTTTTTTTAATATTCTTAAAATTCTCTCTCGTGAGCGTAAAATTGTTACTCAAGAGAAAAAATTTGGTCCGTCGCAGTTGGCGCGTCGAAATGAGCAGGTCTTTGCCGCTTAGCTCCGTGCGTAAACTTCGAATAATTACATTATAAATATTTTTCATGAAAACATGTATAATTTTATGTATTACTATTGTATAGTTTAGAACTATGGTACAGTAACTATACGTTTTCTAATATAACATCGCCGTTGATGTAATATCTTTTAACTTTTTGAAGATAAAAAGTTGAAACTTTCTATAAATTCTATTTTTGGTCGAATGATCCGACCTACCAAATTTTCTAAGGATCGGTCGTCTATATCATATAGATGCCACATAACAGGACGATCAAAAATGGTATTTGGAGAATATAATACCTTTTGTATTTTTGAAGATAGAGGACTAGGACTTTTTATACCCTTGCAGAGGGTATTATAATTTTGGTGAAAAGTGTGCAACGCAGTGAAGGAGACATCTCCGACCCTATAAAGTATATATATTCTTGATCAGGAACACCTGAGTTGATATGAGCATGTCCGTCTGTACGTCTGTCTGTCTGTCTGTCTGTTTCTACGCGAACTAGTCTCTCAGTTTTAAAGCTATCGTCTTGGAACTTTGCACACACCCTTCTTTCCTTTGCACGCAGTATATAATATACTATATACTATATATATATAGTATATATATATATACTATATATATATAGTCCTATAGCTGCCATATAACTGATTGATCGGAAAAGGTATAACTTTGGTGTTTTTAGAGTTAGAGAGTTCAAATTTGACACGAGAGCTAATTTTGGCATTACGACATGCTAAATTTCATAAGGATCGGCCGACTATATCCTATACCTGCCATACAACTGAACGATCGGAAATGACCCAACTTTCGTGTTTTTGAAGATAGAAAGCTGGAACTTAGTACAGATTCTATTTTTGTATATCCTATAGCTGCCATATAACTGAACGATCGGAAATGGTATTTGGTAGAAATATCAACTTTCGTATTTTTGAAGATAGAAGCTTGGGACTTTATTTTTAGATTTTTTATTGTAATTAATTTGCTTTATTATGATGTAATCATAAGGATCGGCCAACTATATCCGATGTTTGCGATATATATCCGGTTTTACCTGCAAGGGTATATCAACTTCGGCTCCGCCCGAAGTTAGCTTTGCTTTCTTGTTGTATCTAATTTCGTAATATTGTATTTGAATAAATTGGATTTAATATGAAATTCTAATAAGAATCGAGTTACTATGATACTAGCAATATTTTGGGTCCGCCCGAAGTTAGCTTTCCTTTCTTGTTTATCAATGCTTTGATGTTCTTTCAGGGGTAGTTTACTAAATTTCTAGAATCTGTAGTAATGGGTATACCTTGTACAGCTACAAGCAACCTTTTTTGGGTTGCTAAGAGTGGTTTTTAAAATGAAACATTTCATATTTTTTTAAACTTTTCGCGTGGCATTGAATCTGTTATAGGTGTAAGGTTTAGGTCCATGCCATTTTGAGTTTTAAAAATTTTAAAACACCCAAAAGTTCTACAAAATACCAATGCAATGTTAGAAATCCAGAACACCCTCTGGAGATTGAGATGGCTTTTCTTTTTTTTGTGTTTTTGAAGATAGAAAGCTAGAACTTACAGATTATATTTTTGGTCAGTTAATCCGACCTACCAAATTTCATAACGATCGGTCGACTATATCTTATAGCTGCCATATAACTGAACGATCGGAAATGGTTTTTGGTGAAAATACCAACTTTGGTATTTTTTAAGATAGAAGCTTGAGGCTTTTTTTTAAGATTTAGTATTTTAATAAATTGGGTATATTATTATATTCTCATAATGATCGGCCCACTAAATCCGATTTTTGCGATATATATCCGGTTTTAACTGCAGAGTATATCAACTTCGTCTCCACCCGAAGTTAGCTTCTTAGCTTTCTTATTTTTTATATAAAATTTAATACCACAAAATATTTATTACCACAATGGCCCAAGATTATTAGCAAAGTTAAGCTTAAATTTAGCTTTGATTTTAATTTGGGGAGTGCGGCATTCCCACTCTTTTTGGAATAACTTGGCTAAATTATCTTCAAAAGAAAATCAGCTTTATTTACCTATGATATAAAACATAAAAGTACCGTAAAGACTAAGCGTGACCCGAAAGAATGACAACGCTTACAGTTAATCGGTAAAAAGCCGAAATTGCCAAGGAGCAACGCAGGGACCCGTTATAATTCATTTGAGTTAGTTTTTTAATGCAAGTTTGACCAAATGACCACCATTGTTTTTGATGGCAATAAGTTCATTTTTCAATATGAACTATAAGCCATTTTCATGGTTGTGAAAATTATTGTAGATGAGTTAATTCATTTTTAATAACAAGAAGAAAAGAAATACCAAAATTTCTACAGTTTGAATACTTAAGTATAAGTTGAACCCCCGCCAAGAACGGCAGGGGCTTAAGAATTTATTTCAAGGCCCTATTTTTCTTTTTAAACTCTTAAAAAATTTTTGAAGATAAAAAACATTGACTTGACATAATGTTCATATGTATATTTATAAAAAAATCCTTCAAAAGAAAACCTCGCATTAATATATCAATTCCTAACAAAAAATCAAAGACAAAATCTCGTATGAGATCTCATACACAAACAATTAATAATGAACATAATGTAAATTCTATATTCTAATGTAATATGTTACTTATCAACTGGGCTGACAGCCCTTATCGCTACCTTTCCACCTTCCTAGTAGCATGTCATTTACATTTATCTGTTAGTATTAAATAAATAAATAATTAATAAATTGATTATTTAGTCGCAGAATATTCCTTCTCTTTGATACAAATGTACATCCCTCTGTACGTTTGTCTCTCTGGATGTTTGTCTGTGTGAAAGCGTGGCTATTAAAGTGTACAAGGTATAAACCTATTAGATGGTATGCAAACTCATATTAAACACTCGCACCATAGTACACATTTCACAACACAACAGTTCTGAAAAAAAAAAAAAAAAAATTTACCATTTCCAAGTGGGCAAGGTCTAACTTTTTCCGCAAGGTAAGCGGCGCTTACTTATCCTAACCATCCCAAAGAAGGAGCGCTTACTTAACCTAAAAGAAGTGGGCAGTTGCGAAGAACGGTTCTGGTAATTATAATTGAAAAATTAAAAAATAATGATTAGTTGTGAAATTTGAAAAATTGGACAATTTGAGTTGTCCTAAAAATTTGTTAAACGTGTTCAACTTGTATTTCCCTACATGAATTATGAGGACGTAAACCTAGAAAACAGTATGATGATTAATTTCTGTATGAATCAGAATTCAGATTTTCTAAAATTTTGTTGTAACCAACAGCTGTATCTTTCCAAAAATGACTGCAGATTGCTTGAGCATGATATAAAAATAATTACTTTTTTATGCACAGTTTTTATTTACTTTATTGTTGTCGTTAAGTTTCGAAAAGTTTAGTTTGTGCGTTATTACCTCTAACATATTTTTAGTGTTATAGTAATGAATTTATATATTCTTGAATAACAATTCTATATGTTTTAATCAAATTGATATTTATTTATTTTTTATTTATGTTTTTGTTCGTTTTTTCTTTTTGTTTTTGTCTAATTTTATTTGTTTCAGTTGCGTGTGGTTCGTGCTTTTCGCTCGACATTGGAAGACCTAAACGAACGACGTTCCATTCACAGCTTGCATAGCTTACGCAGTGCTAGAACGGAATTGCAAAGTCGATTAGCCGGTGGCCATTCATTGCACAATTTTAACATTTTGAGCTCCAATCACAACAAGCAGCATCAACACCATCCGCAGGGTCGAACAAGCGGGTCCAATTCTATGTTGCCGCCGGACATATCTTATATTGACGAAGATCCGCAACAACCGCGTACTGTGCACAATGGATTTATAACCCCGGCATTATCGATATCCAGAAATTTACCTGGTCCTACTTCTTCATTGAATCCAAGACTATCTGGAGTAGCAAACTCTTTAAGACAAAAAATGCGTAATAGCATTGATGAGTCACATCTAAATGAACAGCATGAGACTAGAATTTAATAGGTTTAAGCAGCTCTAAATAAGACAATAACAAAGCTATTATAGCTTAGCAGATAGAGCTGCTTTATTAAGGTGGGACATCTGAGTAACAGGCGAAAAAAATGCGGATTTTCTGGAATATTTTTTGGCCAAATGAAAAAGGCAATCGAAAATTTGTAAATGAGGTTTTATTATATTATATTTAAAGTACAAAATAAACTTTAATAAAATAAACTTTTTAATAAATCGAAAACAAAATGGCGGCCCTGCAGCCTTTATTCGTAGGCCCTATTTTATTAAAGGGTGTCCATGGCCAAACACCTAACGTCCTTAATTTTTGATCTAGAACAAAAAATCAAGTTTGGTTAGTTTCTGTACATCAACGGCTATCGACACACGTAGGATTTTTTCGATATATTAATTTTTTGCAAAATGGTGAGTGATTGAAAATAATTTTCAATTTTCACTAACAAAAAACGTTACAAAACAAAAAACAAAATTGTTGATAAAAAAAAGTAAGCAATATAAAAAAAAATCCTACGTGTGTCGATAGACATAAGTATTCTGAGTATACTGTAAAAATTTTAGATCGATAGGTTAAGAGTTGTTCTCAAAAGCGGTTTCGAGAAAAACGCGTTTAAAGTTTAAAGTACTGTGGGATATACCTGTGAGGCATCTCCGCAAAATGGAACATTTCGACACTTGGACACGTTTGCCGGACTCTATCTTTGGATATGTTATTTTTAAGACCGTAAAGAATTTTTGAAGCGAAAAAAAAATTTTCGATTTTTTCAAAACTCTATTCAGATGTTCCCCCTTAACTTGACGGGAATGAAAATGGCTTTTTACTTAATTGTATAAATGAACTCCAGCATAAGTGCTTTTTATTAATTTTAATCATGTCCTTGTCAACACAGTTTAATACTGTTAAATAATTGTAAATAGAAAAATATAAACGAAAATTTTATTTTGAATTTAAAATTTTAATTTCTTATAAAATACTCCAAACCATAAAACTTAACGCTCTCGAATTTCCTTTATGTACTTTTATGTACTGTAATAAATGAGTAAATATTCTGAAAAAAAGAAAAAACTTATGTTAAGCATGAACTTTGTATTATTTTCCTTTTTTTATGTTCCAAATTAAACAATTTTTCCTAATTTTTATTACTAATCAGAGTGTTCAATTTTTTAGATAATATATTTATTTCACTAAAATGACTAATTACTAAATAATAATTAAATAACAAAAAATTGTGTTCAGGCACGGGTTATTATCAAAATAATTACATACATACATATATATATAATTATTTCATTTAATTAATAAAGTGATAAATCAAAAGGGTTGTTTTTGTTAGATATTTTACAACAAAGTTAATAAAACATCTTCTGAAAAAAAATTGAAAAAAAATTGTTATTGAGAAAAAATTGTAATTATAAATTTTACCATTACAAGTTGTTATACTCTTGCAGAGAATGTTACAGTTTTGGTGTGCAACGCAGGAAAGAAACATCTCCGACCGTATATATTCTTGATCAGGATCACCTCATGAGTTGATATTAGCATGTCCGTTTGTCTGTCCATCTATCTGTTTCGAAGCAAGCTAGTCTCTCTGTTTTCAAGCTATCGACTTAAAACTTTGCACACACCCTTCTTTCCTTTGCGCGCAGTATATATATGAAAGGAAATACGGCCGGAATCGACCGACTATATCATATGGGTTTGATCGGAAATGCCATAATAACTGATTGATCAGAAATACAAAAATACACCTTCTGTCAAAAAAGTACCGGGACTGGATTAATTAAAACGCCTGTGCTAAACCGATTTCGGAAATTTTTTTTTGTTATGTTGCTAACGCTTTTCTGCATTATTAAGTAAAGTTTGAGTGCGATCTGTGAAGTAGTTGGTTTACAGTCGCTGGTTACGCCAGTCTATGTTCTGATTCGGAGAGGTCTCCTTCACTGCGTTGCACACTTTTGACCAAAATTATAATATAATTGCAAGGGTATAAAAAAGCATTAAGGAGTAAACATGGTAGACGATATTCGCTTGAATTTATAATATTTTGATTAAAAATTTTATTTTTGTTAAAGTATGATGATAAATCCTCAGGGTCGTACATTTTGTAAGATGTTGATTATTAGAATGCAGAGATGAAAATAAATCATTCAGTGCGGCTGTGTAGGGCTCAATCGCACACTAAAACATTACTTATTTCTTAAATAAAATATACTTTTCGGCTCGTTTATTATTCTTGTTTCTGACTTTTCAGTATGCCTCACCAAAATGTAATTCTACTCCATTCAAAAGTATTCAATGTCTGGGACATATATCAAGAAAGGAAAGCTTAATTCGGGGAGTACCATCGCTCTAATGTTAAAAAAAGCTATGGCATTTTCGCTCAATCAGTTATATGGCAGTTACAGGTTAGTCGATCGCGGCGTTCCGCTATAGATATGTATATACTGCGTGCAAAGAAAAGGAGAATGGGCGCAATAGGCGAAACACACAAATTATTAACCGACTGACAAGCGAACATGTTTATAGCGACTTAGGAGGTTCTCCTGGTCAAGAATATATATACTTTAAAGCAGGGGTGCTCTGCATGCGGCATGCGGAACACTCCCATACAATTCAAAAAATCACCAATACAGTGGTGTGATACATTTTTTTTAGCGTCGGTACACTGAAAAAGTACTGAGTACTGAGGGGTTTAAAATAATATCATTAAAAAAATATATTGTAAATATTTAGCAATGAAAAAATTCCATAAACTTTTTACAACTTCCTATTATTATTCTTTGACAAATAATAAATACTTTCACATATAAGCATAGCTTCTTAAGAAAAGTTCTACGAAAAAGAAATGCATTGCTTGAAGTCCATTCTGGCAGAAACAAAAACAAGAATATATATCTTTCAGTGAAAAGTTTTCGGCACTTCCAACAACAAAATGCGTTCGGATTAGCACAATTGAGAAGACTAGGGGAAACACGATAAATTGTTATTGGATTTGCCCTTTGCCTATGTTGAAAGTCACACATATATATTTATTTTTATTTGTTTTTTGTCATACCCTTGCAGAGGTATTATAATTTTGTCCAAAAGTGTGCAACGCAGTGAAGGAGACATCTCCGACCCTATAAAGTATATATATTCTTGATCAGGAACACCTGAGTTGATATGAGCATGTCCGTCTGTCCGTCTGTCTGTTTCTACGCAAACTAGTCTTTCAGTTTTAAAGCTATCGACTTTAAACTTTGCGCACACCCTTATTTCCTTTGCACGGAGTATATAAGTCGGAACGGCCGGGATCGGCCGACTATATCCTATAGCTGCCATAAAACTGATTGATCGGAACAGGTATAAGTTTGGTGTTTTAAGAGAGAGTTTAAATTTTACATGAGAGCTACTTTCGGCAAAATAATACGACATGCCAAATTTCATAAGGATCGGCCGACTATATCCTATAGCTGCCATATAACTGAACGATCGGAAATGGTATTTGGTTGAAATATCAACTTTCGTATTTTTGAAGATAGGAGCTTGGGACTTTTTTTTAGACTTTTTATTGTACTTTTTTGGTTTTATTATGATGTAATCATAAGGATCGGCCCACTAAATCCGATTTTTGCGATATATATCCGGTTTTAACTGCAAGGGTATATCAACTTCGGCTCCGCCCGAAGTTAGCTTTCCTTTCTTGTTTTATTATAACAGGGTTGAATTTGTTTAAAACTGTCCAACAGGGAAAACCATTAAATATTGACAGAAAACTTGGCTTAAGTGTAACTTAAAGTTAGAGGTAGAAAAAGAGGAATAGGAATAAGAATGTCTTAGAGTTATTCCGGGTGAGGTCCAGCGGTCCAGCATGAGTTCTGTGCAGCCTCCGCATCTGTCCGCTGTTGTCGAAGAGAGTGGTCGCCAACTCATTGGGGTGGTTGTGTAGCCTCTGGATGTACTTGCTGCTGCTTCTTTGTATCTCCTCCTTCACCCTTGGGAAGCCAAGCACCTCGTGGATTGTCTGGTTGTCGTGGTAGACATGGGCCCCAGTGACGATACGGAGTGCTCTATTTTCAAATGTCTGGATAGTCCGAATATTAGTCTTGCTGGCCGTGCCCCAAAGTTGGATCCCGTATGTCCAAATTGGCCGAATAATCGCCTTGTAGATCAGAATTTTCGAAGAGGTCCTCAACTTCGACCTCCTACCTATCAGCCAATAGTACGCCTTTAATCTTACTTCACACTGCTTTCGATATTTGGCTAGGTGAAGCTTTCTAGTAAGCCTCCTGTCTAGTGTGTAGCCCAGGTATCTTGGGTTTTCTACCTGCGGGATGGGGGAGCTGTTGCGGTGGACCGTTGGGTAATTTCGTTGACAGAGAGAAAATGAGGTGGCGGTGGATTTATCGTTATTCACTTGAATACTCTGCCAATTGCCGAGAAGATCTAGTTGCTCCTGCATGACAGCACCTGCTTTTTTAGCGTTTTCAGCAGCGGTCAGGAAGGCGGTATCGTCCGCAGAGGTGGCTGCCATTATGTTGGGGTTCCGCGAGGCTGGGAGATCGGCCGTGTAGACATTGTATAATAAAGGGCCCAGCACGCTGCCTTGAGAAACTCCGGCGCGGACCTACCTGAGTCCGGAAGTGGCCTCTCCACATCTGTTGGTGGGGGGCGTTGCTGCCGCAAAAGAATCCGGAAAAAATGAAGATTAAATAAAAAGTCGGGGGCGTCTTCGGATTATACGCGTTCAGCTTTATTCGCTGCTTGCAAGAGATTGACAAAAACTTAACTAGTACAATAAAACGGACGATCGATGACGGCCGACGAGAAAGCGAGAGTGCATAAAGGGTCGAGCGCGGATGTGCTCTTAAGTTTAGCTGAGCGGCGGCCCAACGGCCCCTCACATAAACATCCCACCCCCCTTGCAATCACTCGGCTTGTAACAGATCCCTCGTCGTTACGGCTGATAGGGTGGGCGCAGCGGCCGCGTCCTGCGGGGGCCCTCGACGAGAGGCGGAAAATTGCTATGACGCGGGCGGACGAGCGGTGGACGGCACCCAATGAGTGGCGGACGAAAGCCGTGGAGCGCTTTACGACTGTCGGCCAGTGGCGGAAGAATGCCGAGGAGTCGCCGACGAGCGCCGGGAAGTCCGTGGACGTGGA